TGTAATAGTAAGAAAATTTAAAACCGCAGTAAATTATAAAAAAAAAAAAAAAACAGCATTGAAAGGCTGGCCATGGTCTGTTTCGACCTTAAAATCTTATTTTCTCCTTTCTTTTTTTTGAGAGGTGCGGTGCCTTTCGGAATACAAAAAGATTCGATGAAAGTGTGTGTAGCATGTGTATCAGGACGTACGCGCGCGAAACTCTTTTTTTACGACTTATAAGAGAATGGAAAGTACGACCTTTAATGTTGCATGCGATATTCTAATTTGTTTTTTTCCATAAGCTGCAAGAATGCGAAGGCTTTTATAATCGATATCCAGACTGAACCATAATTATGCGTGAAGTCATACGCTTCCGTTTCAGTATGAATAAATAATAAACTATATGCACTAGCATCAATTTTTTTACGCACGTCACTCGAGAGGTGACTGTTTCTATTGACGCGCGTAAGCAAGCATGTAGTCGTAATATCTTTACTGATCTAGATATTAATTTTCTCGGCAACTTGTGTAATGATTATTCTATTGATAATGTTTTTTGTTGGGAAATACATGAGTAAAATTATGTAGAAGTTTTATAATTTATATAATACCTTATTTTATCAATGGGTCTTTGTATCGTGCGAAGTACTGCAAAATTTATTTACCTGAAATAAAAAAAAATCATATTAGTACAGAACTTAGCAATTTTGATAATTATAATAAGTTACTGCTTAATAACAGTTCTAGCAAGATATATTTCTCGAAAAAAAACAATTTATAAATTTATATATTTTTGGGCTTCAACTAAACAAATAATAACGTAGAAGTAAATTCAAGTTATACAGACGAAGAACATCAAAACTAAAAAGTTCGTAACATCTTTATGCTTCTCGTTCTCTCTCTTTTGGACGTGCGTAAAACCAACGACTATAGGAAAACATTTCCGACAAGTTTCTTCCCCGGCTAGGTGCAAACGCAAAACGAGAATATTTCAAGATGTACGAATATTTTAAGACGACATTAGTGAATTCGCGGTCCACTTGAATGAATATGAGAGAGATAAAGACGAGTAGGAAATTCAGACTAGCAGAAGTGTCTTGTGACACGAGACAATGTAAAAAAGAGGGAAAGAGAGAGAGAGAGAGAGTGACTGACACACAAATGTCGCGAGAAAATGAATTGAAAACGACGAGAGATTATTATGCAGCAGTAGCGTTTTTACTATGTGTAACGAAGATATTTGAATGTTTAATCCTTTATATCATTTGTGCGGAGCATAGCAAGTAGGTCAAGTATAATTATCTTGAATCATTTTTTACAATTTTTTTAAATGAGTCAATTTCAGGTAGCTTGCAGGTCATTGAATAGAAACTTATTACGCCCATTATCTCTGTTGGTCTTTTCGAGCTCTCGTTCTCAGAAAGATACAAGACAATGTAGACAATAATATAACATGATTTTTCCGAGCCATAGGATAAATATTTATAAATTTTCAATTTCTCGAAAGGAAAAAATTTGTTGATCTTGTGTACAATGAACGTAAAATCTAATGTTTACATAATTTTGGGAATCACAATTCATCGAGGGTAGGGTAGTTCCACGCAGCGTAGAATTTGAACAAAAGGACCTATACACAGCACTAATATTCTTTATGGATTATATTTTGAGCGTATGTGTCCATTGAATGAAAAGCGTTTGGCATAATTTGCGCGGATTCGCGCGCATATCACGCGGCAGCAGACAACAATGTAGAAACCAATTCGCTTAACGAGTGAGCTGGTAATTTTTTCTCAACATAAAAAAAAAAAATAAATACAATATAGTATTGAAAATAGCAAGTGAGAGGTAAAAATTTCAACGAGCAATTGGTAAATATCTCGAGCACTTTTAACGCGATTTTTCGCATACTTCTGATACAGAGTTCGGTTTAAAATATTTCGGAAGTATCAAAATGCTATGAAAACAAAAATATAGTATAATATAAAACAAGGAAAAATGAGAAGGTGAAAAAGGGTAGAGTTTAAAAATTTTTTTGACATAAGATATAGTGTTATCAGTACGAGCTTGGTAGTAGTAGTGGTAGTGGTAGTGGTAGTGGTAGTAGTAGAACTAAAATATTTGCAACATAAAATAAAAAAAGATACGTAGCTTCAAAACTCTGACAAGAAGTGAAATTGAATATATGCTGCACTGGATATTTGAATACGAGAAAATAAAAGTCTGATATAATTGTATTCTATAAAAAAATACGCCACGTAATTATATAATATCTCTTTCCAGAACTTTGATCCAGTTGAAATAAAAATAAAATTTTCCAAAAATTTTGTACAAACGACTGTTACAACGAAAAAATAATTAGCAGTCCAGGGACGTTTTTTTCCAAACAGCGAACGATAAATTTTACTACGGGTAGCATCGTGAAAATTCCTCACTTTAACTCATGAAGAACGCGGAAATATTGCATGTGCGTATATATAGTGCAGAAAGGATTCGTAAATTATCTTTGCAATGCACGGCATGAAATCACACACGCGTTCGTGTATCATGTGTCCAAATTTGGCGAGCTCAACATTTTCCAAGCGCTTCCATCAATTAAATATTTTTTGCCCCTCTCAGACCAACTTGAACCTAGCATATGTTGTCCCTCTGATTAGCATAAGTTGTTCGTACAAAAATACCCTTTTCGATACGTTTTTTCTAATTACACCAAAACACGCGTTTATGGATTTTCCGAGTATCGTTATCCACATCAATTTATGATACTTTTCATCGATAGCAAAAAAATTAGTCGCCTGGGAAATGCTGTAACGAAATACAAGTTTCAACCGTTGTCGTGTAACTACATAGAATAAGTATAAGTTCAACGCAAAGTGCCATTGATCCCAGGACATTCCAGAAAACATATGAAAATTATTCATTCAAAAGTAATTTCATCGTATTACTGAGCGACACTTTATTGGAAGGAAATTAAACAAGATGTTGTAAAGATTGTTCATTTACCATGCGTCCGGGCGCACCTGATATATTTTATTCAAAGTAGTCATTTACCGATAGTGCAAAAAAAAAGAAAAAGAGAGCCAATATAAATAAAATCTCATATTTTATATCGTGGAAAATTTCTCTCGCGCGACACTGCGAATATTCGACGATTTCACATCGTAACGTTGAATATGTATTGATTCATTATAGGCACAATAATGATAAAAAAGGCTATCGGTTGAAATTTCTCATCCCTCCTTGTCTCAACACTTTCAACTTTCTCTGCAGCTCCAAAAGTATCAATAAAATCGCGCATTCGAATCAAAAGTGTCTACGCGGCGCAGTGTAATTGAACTCCTCTGCATACTTATTTGCAGGACGCGACGCATCTCTTTTTTACTTCGCGCGATAGTAAAAAAACATTGACGCGCGTCGCGTACTTTCAAGCACGCGCGCGCGAGCGCATGCAAAAAAGGAAAAAAATGTTAACAATACCCAACAGAAAATTATATCCGACAGATTGACAGTGCATAACTAGAGAGGCAGAAAAGAAGGAAGAGAAGAACGGGAAGGCAGAAAAAAAAGGAAAACAGTAACAATTCAAGTCTATAAAGTGTATATATTCTTTGCTGCACTGCGCGTTCGCTGCGCTGATGGATACTTAATTAGAAAGCCCCCTTTTCGCAGAATAAAATTCATGAGCAATCTTTCTCACTTACTTCAAGCAAGTCGTGGCTAAATACATTTGTTCTCTTTGACATCCCTCAACATTTAATTTTCAGGAGGGTAAAATCGCGCGCAGCATAGGCGTAGTAGCATAATGCAACCTACTCGCTGCGCTTCCCTCTCAGGTCAGAGAAACCACTTTATCTAATAGCTTGATCTGCTGCTGCCAGAGAAAGGGAGACAATTTAGACTTACTCGATTTTTAGGCTCAAGATAAGCCCCGGTGTCGGATATTTATATGAGAGATGCAATTTACATTGTATGATCTGGTGATTAATTTACGAAATGGAAACGTAAGTGTAAATCGTAAGTATACACTTTTTTGTAGAAAAGTTAGTCAATATATAATCAATGGCGTGTGAATGCTAGAAGCATTAAATCATTAGTTGCAAAAACGAATAATACATTCATCACTTAACTACGAAATGGAAAATTATATGGACATTCACCGACTTATATGACCTGTAATTTGTCATAAATGAAACGGAACAATAATTATCTGGAGCTACGATTTTATCGTGTATGAAACTGCTTAATTTCTGACTAGCCAATAATTTTGTAAATGTTTCGCCGATTTATTCGTAAAGTTAAAAATTAATTTGTATAGTACTCAATTTATAAGTTCAAAAAGTTACTCAAAGAACATTGTCAGATTCGCAGAAGTAAATCTATCACGTTATACAATCGATGATTGTTTTACTGACTGAAATATGAAATGATTTGTAAAATACTGGTTAGAACGCATTGATCTGCGTGTGAGAATTTTATTCTGAATAGCGTAGACCTACTTTCACTCTTCCTTGCAAATTTACTGCATTACGAACTTATGATACTTTTACAAAAATCTGTATTAGATAAGCTTCTTTAGTATAATTTGATGGAAATATCCCCTGAGCATCCCTTTCAATTCTGCGCAAAAATAAATTTTTTTAAACAGAACTGATTTCGTTTACATTATTTTTCTAGTTTTTGTCAGTCACTTTCTTTGAACTAGAAATTTTTTTAATTACAATAATATGTAAGTCACGACGAATGAAAGAAAAACTGTTATTTTCTGCATTGTTGGTAAATCTCTTAGAATGGGTTTTATCCACTCAACTGCGAGCGTTTTAAATCGTCACGTGTAGTTATAGATAAAATTCACGAGACTAATTTTTAATACTGATTTGACGTATCGTTATGATTGCGGTCAATCATTTTCTCAGTTGAGAAATAAAATGCAATATAAAAATAATAATAAGTTTGTGATAACAAAATTATAAAAATTTTGTAAGATATATTCATGCTGGTCAATCATTCAGTCGAATCTGTTCCGATCACCAGTTCAAACATGCGGTCTATTGCAGCAATTTTTTTAGTCAGTTTGACAGTTGCTTCGTGTTTATCTGAAAATATCCAGGTAATTTTAAAAAATTTTCAAAAAATTTAAGGTTGAAATTGTTCACAGTTAATAAATCGGATCCTCTTTACAGTTATCGAATGAAGCTGTAAACCTGCAGAGTGCATTTGGGGACAGCATTACATCAACGTTGCCTGAATTAAAAAGGGAAAAGCGTATCATACCAATACTTCTTGGAGGTCTCTCACTTATTTTTGCAAAAGATCAAATGGAAAAAAATACTCAAAACGAATATCTCCGAGCAATAGAAGCCGAAAATGAAAAAAGAAGAAAAGATCTCCAACGCCTTGAAGAGGTATTAAAGTCAGTATCGTAAATTTAGTAGTGATATAATTGTACGTTAGTTTAGTCTACGTTATAACTTGTTTGGAAATCAAGTATCAAATAATTTTATAATTTACTGTTCGATTAAATTTTTATAATAAAATGAATAAATAATCCATAGTGTAGTGTTTTATTGTAAAATACGTATGATACATATAGAGACGATTTGTCGAATAAAACATTATATACATGTGGTGAATCCTGGTAACTACAGAGCTTTTGGTGGTTATTGTTTATAGTCGAAATTCAGAACAACAAGTAAGTTACTTGCGTCTTAGCGGTTCAACACTTAAAGCTACCGATTGAAAGCTTTGAACGGTTGCGGATTCGCTAATGGAAAAGTTCATCAGCGCCAGTAATCCTATCTCGAGTCTTGATGTGACTAAGTATCAAACTCTCGCTCAAAGACATGCGGATATCGAATGGAACACACGTATACGTACATTCTTACTTCAAGACTTATTTATTTTTCATACACACGTAATTTTCAAAGGCCGCTTCAGAACATGAAATGGTGCGAGGCATTGATCATTTCGTGAACGTTATATCCACGTTCAAGGTACTCTACTTTCGAACCCTTTACGTAAAATTTTTGCATTCACGAGTAATACTTACTTTTTAATCGCAAAGCAATTATATCATGAGTTGTATCAAAATTAAAACATAATTGAGTATTGTCTTCGAAATGTCAACAATACTTTCATTTTAATAACAATTACAAAAAAGTAAAGTATTTTTTTATTATACTAATAACTATCATAAAACAAAGTTAAATGAATGATTGGAATTCATGTTTCACGTAATTGTCGAATTGCACAGTGATAATATTTTTATATTGATACAGTTTACAATGAAAAATCCAAATCAAATTAACTTAGGAATACAAATTTTAGCTTACTTAGTTTCTTTTACATGTTACCTCAAAAATATAAAAAATATATAATAAGAGAATATTACACATAATTTTAATTTTTTTCAAGCATACAATTTGTCTACTAAATCGATTTCAGTTGTCAGAATGAAATCTTCAATTTGACACATGTAACTATAACCTCGTGTGACGTTCAGAGGTTCCCAGCCAGCTGGTACTTGTCCATCGATTATTTGTCCAGCTCCTTTACACAAATGATAATTTTTACCATTTTTAATATACGGATTATTCACCGTAACAAAAACTATGCCGTAATTGTTTGATGGATCGTATACCAGCTTCCAAAAGTACAATGGTACAGGTATTTCTTTTATACAATTCTGAGGATCATGCCACATGAAAACTCCTTTCCATTTAAATTGACCATCTTCTTGATCAAGCAATTCTAATTGTTCGTGAATACCAGTCAATACCACCAGATCTTTTTTTAATTCCATAGCCATTTTACGCACATGATTTTCGATTTTTTCCCAATTTCCATGTTTAATTGATTTCCATTGAGGTGCAGTATTTAAATAATAAAAACTTGTCATAGCTGCTCGCGTATAAACGAAATCTGATTCACTTGCAAGTTGACTAGGCACCAAGAACATATTTGCATTGTTTTTATCACTTATGTAAGAACACGATTCATTTGAAGCAGTATTGCCATGACAGGAAAAAAGATTATCAAAAGTCTCTTGTTGCTTTAGATGTTCATACATATTTACTGGTCTCACATCATCTTTGCAACAAATGTCTTTTTTTAGTGTTTGAGACGGAGGTATTTTTTGATGATTCTTTAAAGCCTTTGATAAAAGTATCCTGACAAATGATGTAGAAAAAGTTCTAATCGAAAAATACACATCTATCGTCGGTAGAAAATGTGACCCGTAAGATATTCCAATTTGATATTTTTTATACTGTTTTTTGTATCCATATGCTTTTCCTGGTAAAGACTTTACTTTTGGATACAATCGAATGGGACATCTCATGGCATCAATAGAATGTTCATTAGTACTGCCTATCTTGGTTATTAGGGTTTTGTTTTTGCATTCGTAAGTTTCGGCGTTGAGACAACCAAATGCTATTTTTTCTCCTGGCTGAAGAATTATCGTAGAGCTTCTAGTGGGAAACATGAATTTTGTTGGTTCTAATGGCATTAGAATTATTGGATAAATGTCACTGACTTTTCGGATATCAATTTTACATGAGAATCCTGTAATGAAAAATATTTTGTATCAATATTGAAGTTTTGCCTCACGTATATTATAAAAAATGTAACGACTTACTTTTTTTCTTCTTTTCTTTACTTTCTTCACTACTACTTTCTTCGCTATTTTCATCGTTATGGTCATTTTTTGGATCTTGATTATTATTATTTGCTCCTGAAGGACTTGGAGGTGGAGGAGGTGGCAATACCAAAAGTCCGGTAATTGCCGGCAATACTACAAACAAAAACACGGGTAAGGTTCCCTTGAGAAAAAAGAAGGCACCTCCAACCAAACCAAAAAGAGGAATGAGCACCGCAAGCCCTGATCTATCCTCATTTTTTTCTGTAGTTGTGCTGATTGTAATAATTGGATATGCAGTGGTAGTTTCTGCAGCTCTATTTTTTTCTTCTAATTTTAAGCGTTCTCGTTCTATTGCCTCTTTTGCTTTTTCCAATTCTAGATGTTCTCGTTGTTCAGTTTCTTTTTTTTTCAACCTTAATCGTTCTTCGAGTTCTTTCGCTTCTTTTTCTTTCTCTAATCGTACCCGTTCTCGCTCTTTTTCTTTTTTTTCTTTCTCTAACCGTACACGTTCTCGCTCTTTTTCTTCATTTTCTTTTGTCAATTTAATACGTTCTCGTTCTTTTGCCACTTTTTCTTTTTCTAAACTTATTCGTTCTAGCTCTTTCGCTTCTTTTTCTTTCTCTAACCGTACACGTTCTCGCTCTTTCTCTTCTTTTTCATTTTCTAACTTTATAAGTTCTTGTTCTTTCATTTCTTTTTCGTTTACCAACCTCATGCGTTCCCGCTCTTTCTCTTCTTTTTCTTTTTCTAACCTTATCCGTTCTCGTTCTTTTATTTCTTTTTCTCTTTCTAACCTTACACGTTCTCGCTCTCTTGCTTCTAATTCACTTTCTTTTGGTAATTGGGCTGCTTTTTTTCTGGCTATTAATCGGATCAAGATTCGTTCATGTAGTATTTGTTGACGTTCGTTCAGATAATCATTTTCATTCTCCAAATTTCTTGATTGACGTTTTTTTCGTATACTGCAGTCGGTTGAGAATTTAGAGTAACACTTTTGTTTCAGCTTAATTTTCTAAAAGAAAATTAGTTTTTTTATTAAACGGATTAGTTTTTTTGAAATTAAAATTATTACCTTATATGAGTTGCATTCGGAGGTCCATAAAATAATTACAACTAAAACGAAAAATAAAAATTTCGAAGGAACCATAATCAGCCATTTATTGATAAATGACTTATTTTATAATAAAACTTTCATCGAATTTTTCACTAAGAGACTCAAGAGTATTATCAAATCATTTTCTTCAGAGCTTAGTAACGCTCGACACGCTCTAGCTTACTAACTATTCTGCAAAGTACATATTATAATTTTTGTTCGCATATTATCTAACTTTGATTTTTGCAACGAATCTCTACTATCTGGGTTTTCCATAAAAGATCATAAATTGTAAAAAACAAAACGTAATATAATATATTTTTTGTGTAAAAAAATACTAATGAGTCTTATAATAATTATTTTTCGTAAAAGTAGGGAATTAGATGTTACGTAGGAATATTTTTTAGTCGTATGAGCCATATAAGTTGTATATCGTCAAGACAAGTCATTTTCTATTAATAACTTGAACAATAACTAACTACCGTATTTGATGCAGTACTGTTTCTTTAGTTGTCACATCCCATATGGTCTAGTGGCTAGGATACCTGGCTTTCACCCAGGAGGCTCGGGTTCGATTCCCGGTATGGGAAATTTTTGCTTTTTTCCAGATAAAATGCAACTATTTTTTTTAATCCAACAATGATAATATTTAATAATCAAATATTAAAAATTGAATTAGCAAAATTAATAATTCAAAATACTCACTGCAGTTTACGTCATTAATTTTAATACACAGAACAGATATCCTTACACATTTTTGTTAATCGTTACATTATGTTTATATTAAAAAATAAAATGTGAGATAAGAGGCGCATGAGTTCACTTTAAAAGTGTTGACATCATAATAGATTATCAATGTTTTTCATGAAAAATTCACTTATTTTTTAAAATATCAAAAGTTCTGATAAGTCCAATATACGTATGTAAAGTACTAATTATAATAAATAATATTTCAAATTTGAGTATTTTCTTATTTTTAGACAGTAATATTTTAAATTATTAACCAAAAAATAATTATTGAAATTTTCATCTTGTTTATCATCAACGTGTATTTTTGTCACCTCGATCGAACCAATTGATGAATTTAAGATAAAGAACTTTCTTTTTTGATCATTTTTGAACCATTTCATTACTAAAATATTAGAATAGATTATACCTTTTTACCTACACATGACCCTACAGAGGAAGTCTGAAAAATTGCGGAGTGAAAAATCGACTTTGGATTATTACTCATTGGAATGTACTAATTTTAGTTTAGGACATACTTCAAAAACTGAATTACTTACATTACGAAATCTGACTCTACCTATGATGTAACTAATCAAACCATAAAACCAAGATCATGATTTTCTTTAATTAGATTGGTGAAAATCACGTAGTAGCAATTTAAATTTTTAATTTTTAATCAACATGCATACAAAATAGTTTAACTAGCATGAATTTGACGCCATACTTTTTATTAACATTAAATAAAAACTATAATATTGCATTTAAAAAATTAAAGATGCAATTTTGTACATTTGTAAAACAGCGTAGTAACGATTTTTACATTTTAAAATATTAAAATTATTCATCAAACTTTTTCTATTAATGTATGAATTTGGAATAAGTTAATAGAATTTGATTGAAACCTACTAGGTGTTTCAGATCTAAAATTTTACAAAGTTGTCATAGTTCGAAGATACATGACACTCGCCGTCACCGCATTGAATAAAAATTTACCAAACTGAAAATTTATTGAAAC